TGTGTCTCTTTGTGTCTCTCGCTGCCTCTCCGTCCGCCGACGTTTATATTTCCCTGTTGCCCATTCTCTCACGTGATACTTCAACCACACACACACACACCCATGCGTATGAACGCACCCTCGCCATGGGTGCTCACAGGCGATGCAAGGTGTGCAAAGGCCCAAAACCGCTTCGAAGTCACCACTGCTCGACGTGTAACCGCTGCGTGGAGAAGATGGACCACCACTGCCCATTCACAGCCAACTGTGTTGGCAAAGGGAACCACAAGTACTTTTATCTCTTCGTGGTACGTGGCTTCCACATGGCTGTTTCCCCTGTTCATGTGGCTGTGCTTTGAGGGGCAGTCGGAGGGAGCTGCATGTGAGGTTCCACCCAAACGGAAGCGTAAACCCCCACTCACTCACACATTCACACACCCACATACACACACCCACACACTCACTCACTCACTTACTCACTCACTTACTCACTCACTCACTCACACTCACACACTCACTCACTCACACACTCACACACTCACTCACACATTCACACACCCACATACACACACACACACTCACTCACTCACTCACTCACTCACTCACTCACTCACTCACTCACTCACTCACTCACTCACTTACTCACACACACACACGCACGCACACACACACACGCACGCACACACACACGCGCACACACACACACTCATGTTTTTCTCATGCACAGACGTACGGGTGGTTTGCGACGGTGTACGCGCTCTGGCTCTCCATCCACCCGTACTTGGAGTGCGTGGAGATGGCAGATGTTACCGCCGACAAGGACGCGGGGCTGGGCGAAGAGGTGGAGGAAGAGGCCCCAAACATGTTTGAGCACTGCGAAGGATGGGACAGCCTGAAGGTTCGCCTGTTCTTTGCCTCTGTCGCCGCGGCTGCACTGCTCACGGCGTTCTGGCTCTTTGTCACGTACCTCGTCTACACGGACACGACGACGATTGAGTTTCTCAGCTTCTCCGAGCGCAAGCGGCAACGCGAGAGCATCACTGTCAACAAGGAGCCACACTTGCTCAACAACCTGCAGGACGTGCTTGGGCCCTGGCGCTTTTGGTGGAGGTGGCTTGTTCCCGTCCCGCTCTTGCACCACAGCATACCGCAGTGGCACGAAGACAAGTAGACAAACAGAGACGCGACAACACGGCAACACGGCAATGCGACAACACGAAACACAGCACACTACACCTTGTCACGGGTGCCCGTGAAGGTGCTGTTGTTTGTTATCAGCACGTTGACACGATGAAGGCACGCCCGTGGGAAGTTGGTGATGGGGAGGGGGGGCTCTAAAGCTGCATCTCAACATCAAAAGCAAACCTGAGCCACCACACACACACACACGCACGCACACGCAGACACACACACTCGAACGTTTGAAACACGTGTTTGGTTTGAACCCACCCAATGTGTTTGTGTTCTGTGTGTCGAGTTTGACTTCAAGACTTCAGCTGTGAGAGTCAGCCAGCCCATTGCTTCGTTGCACGTGCACGCGATCAAGCGCACGCGCAACTGCTGCCGCTGCTTCGCAAGCATCAATCAACCCGTCAACTGAGCGACCATGATCGTGATCATGCGTAGGTGTCATCACACTACACAAAGCCTGCCAGCGGTTGGTAACCGTTTTCCTCCTCCCAACACAAACACGCTGCAACCACTGCGCGAGTGCACGGCGCGTGCATGCAGTGTGGCAGCGCCACAACAAGCGCAGAAGCGCAGAAGGAAGTGAGGCAGTTATCACGACTGCCAGCCGCGGTGATCGTCTGCTTCACACAACCACACAGCCACACAGCCACACAGCCACACAGCCACAAGGCCCTCCACAGCTTCTTCAGCTTGTGCAGACAGCTCGACTCTCACTCACTTTTTGTCCAGTCATCAAAGACGCTCGCGCATCATCAGTTTCTTCTTCATCACCACCCCTCTCCCTCCATTCCGCCCGCCACCTCTCGTCTCAGCGTTCACCCCTGAGTCGCCAGGAAGATGCCGAAGCTGCACACCGCGTGCCAGCGCGGAGACATTGACAAGGTCAGGGCGCTCCTCAAGAAAGGCCTCTTCTCCGGCCCGAAGCCTGTCGACTGCCGCGACTCCATGGTGACTGCATTCGTGATGCAATGTGTGTGGTGCGATGTGTGCGATGGGCTGATTGCGTGAGCTCCCATACGAGTGCATCCTTCGGCATCGCATGTGCGTATGCTTGTGTGCCCACGCCTCTCCTCTGCGCCGTGTGAGGCCTGTCTGTGACTTTTGAGCTTGCTTCTGCAAGTCCACACATCGCAGCTGTCACCGCATCACGGAGACGGCTGCTCTGTGGTGTGTGCGATGTCCGGTCCAAGTTCTAAACGGCGCCGCTGTCATCTGCTGTGCGCACAGGCAAGGACACCGCTGCATGTGGCATGCCAATATGGACAGGTGGAGGCCGTGGAGGAGCTGCTGCAACACGGAGCCAGCGTTCACGCCAAAAACGTGATGGTAGGCCACACGCTCGCTTGCTTGCTCGCCTGCTCGCTTGGGTTTGCTTGCAAGCACATGCGAGTTCACGCGTCCCGTTACCCTTGTTGAGTCGGTTGCCCTCGCTTCTTGTGGCTTCTTGTCCTTCTCCCGTGCCACTCATACCTGATCTTCCGCTTGCGGTGCCTGCAGGCAAACACGCCACTGCACATTGCCAGCCAGCATGGGCAAGGCGTGATTGCGCGTCTGCTTCTTCAACACGGGGCCAGCGTCGACGAGGCCAACAACGAAGTCTGTGCATTGCGCTTCGTATGCGTATGTCTGTGTGTGTGTCTGTGTGTGTCTGTATGTCTGTGTGCATGCAAATGTCTGTGTGTGAACGCACCACACAAACCAGTGTATTGCCTTTGTGTTACACGCTCGTCGTGCCTCCGAGCCTTGTGGTGCATTCCTTTACACGCCTTTGCCGCGTGTTACTCGACCTAGGGCAACACTGCATTGCACATTGCGGGCTTCTGTGGTCAAGATACCATCGCGGAGCTGCTCATTGAGAATGGCGCAACCACCCACGCCAAGAACAAAGAGGTGAAGTGCCAACGAGAAAGCCGCTGGTGCACACACGCATGCATGGCCACACTTCCGCTTAACTGCCTACATTCATGCCAAACACAAAACCACAGGGACGCACGCCGTTGCACCTGGCCAGCTTCAGGAACCACGTTGCCGTCGTTCGTGTGCTGCTCAAGCACGGCGCAAGCTCGGCTATTCGCGGCTATGATGTTCGTGTGGCTGTTGCCGCTGTCGCTGTTACCGTTGCTGTCATGCAAATGCATCCTGCTTTGTCCCTTGTTGCTTCGTCACTTGTGACATCACTTGTGACTTCGCCACTCCCCCATGCACCCCTCTCACCCTTTTGTACCCTCACTCCCTCACTCCCGCCCCCTGTGTCATACACACATACGCGCACGCGCATTGCGATAGGACATGACACCGCTGGATGAGGCCGAGGCGCAGCGCAACAGCCAGGTTGTGGACACCATCCTGCAGTTGCACACGGCCTGTCGCAAGGGAGATATCCACACCGTCAGCGCGCTGCTGCGTGATGGGTGGGATCCAAACCAGAAAGACCCGATGGTGAGACAAGCAGGCGTGTAGTGTTGCTGTGGCCGATGTGATGACACATGGTCATGAGCGTAGCGTTGCAGGCTTCGCTTGTGGCGCCGGCTGCGTTTGTGGCGCAGACCAACTACAGTGGCACCATGACACTTTCTCTGCCGTCGACGCCATTGTCTCATTCACTGTGCTGTTGTGGGCTGTTGTTCGCGTCGGCCAATGTCTGTTGGCAGGGCTGCACACCCTTGCATGATGCAGCGCGGGAGAACCACGCGGATATCGTGCGGCTCCTGCTCCAGTACGGCGCCGACCCGCTCATCCCAAACACCTATGTACGTGTGTGCGTGCGTGTGTGTGCGTGTGTGTGTGTGTGTGTGTGTGTGTGTGTGTGTGTGTGTGTGTGTGTGTGTGTGTGTGTGTGTGTGTGTGTGTGTGTGTGAAGCTTGTCGCCTTGCGATTGCAAACAAGTGTAACAGTTCGCCACTCCCACGCATGCCATCTCGTGACCTCAGTCACTCTCTCCACCCACTCCGCTTGCACTCAACTCCATCCACTCACTTGCACTTCTCTGAACGAACATGTTAGGGATGGACACCACGGGACCGAGCGAGGCACCGCAACCACACCACAATTGCGCAAGTGCTGAAGCGCGCAGAGTTGGACCATAAAGACGTGTGTGCCTACATCCACTTTGAAGTGTCATGTGTAACACTGACAACCACGCTCTGCATTCGCTGTATTGTCATGCGCGCGTAGTTTTGCACAGGCAAAGCTGGCCACCTGATGCATCTTCACGCTGCGTGCATCTGTCTTTGCGCTGTGCTGTGCAGAAGAAGCCCGAGGCCGGGCCCTGGTCAACCGTGTCGCTGCATGTTGCTTGCAAGCGCGGCAACATCCACGCCGTCTCCTCCCTCCTGGAGGAAGGCATTGACTTTAACCACCCAGACGATGACGTGCGTCACTCGTGGCTGTGTGTGTGTGTGTGTGTGTGTGTGTGTGTGTGTGTGTGTGTGTGTGTGTGTGTGTGTGTGTGTGTGTGTGTGTGTGTGCCCGTGGGGCTGTTGGCCCAGTCGAGTCAACCCTCTTGCTCAGTCCTGTAGACTGGTTGCTTGTTTGTGATGATCTGAACATGACATTACAGTTTATCTCACGACAGCAACAATCACCACAGGAGACAACGCCGCTGCACTATGCCTGCATGCACAGCCATGAGGACATTGTCAAGCTCCTCTTGGACCGGGAACCGCCCGTGGAAGTCGACAGCAAGGACTCATACGTGCGTGCACCAGTCTGCGCGCGCGCGCGTGTGTGTGTGTGTGTGTGTGTGTGTGTGTGTGTGTGTGTGTGTGTGTGTGTGTGTGTGTGTGTGTGTGTGTGTGTGTGTGTGTGTGTGTGTGTGTGTGTGTGTGTGT